TAAATTTCTGTGCGCGGATTCCCAGAGTAACACTGTAGATTTCTAAATTCGTGAGCCATTCTAGGGATACGAATATCATATTTACAAATATATTCATTATACATATACGTAAAAGATCTGTGTCCAGTGAGAAAGAACTACAGAAAATTGTGTGTTCAAAAAAACGCACTACGATTCCCAGAGTATTTTTGCAAATTTTCTGAATTTCTGAGCTATTTTGAAGATACATATGTCATATTTGCACTTACATTTATTATACGTATGCGACGTATGCGTATACATATTTACATTTATAATGTTACTGAGAAATGATAGAATCACTTTGTTAATTTCTACTAAGATGACTTACATGGCATGTCAACACAGCTTCCATAGTGAGTTCTTGTAATATTAAAATAACTTTTTACGCTAGTATTCATGAATTTCTAGTATTTTAAATCGTTGAGCTACCCATGGGGTATTATACACGTTCTCAGCGACGCTTAGTTTACCATGATCTACCTACTTGATGGCGCCTAGCTTCTTTGCTCACCTCTCTATGACCCATATTTAGGTCAGAACAATCATTGTGTCCCGCAATTTAGAAGCAGCTGTGCATTCTCGTTATATAGTAGAGTTTTTCTCTGCGAAAGCGCGTATTCGCTTCTCATATCTTTTTATACTCCACGTTCTTCTATACATCTTCCCAGGTTCTTAGTGCATATGCAGCTCTTATGTGTGAAGTAAAAGCACTCATCTGCTATGTAGTCACAGCGCTGTTAGCATCTAATAGAAGTTTGATAAGTTTGTTTAAGAAATATTGCGGTGTTAAGTCTGTGGCCTTGTATCCTCTCAATCCGAATAATACCCAAAGGCCACCATATCGGCCGAGAATTAAAAAACAACGAATTGCTTGTCAGAAATGATGGCGCACACTACACGCAATATCCGATCGTGAATAGAGAGGTATTTCTCCGTCTTTTCACTGGCCGTACTCTGTTATCCGCACACCTTTCAACAGCAAGTGTCTCTCGAAAATGAGAAATTAAGTGAGAAATCATTAAGAGGACTTCTCTCTGGATGAGCTGCGGTTTTGCATCTACGTCGGATACGCTATCTCGAAAAAATTGTGAGAAAAAACTTTGTCCACCAAAAGAAACTATAGAAATTCAACAACTCCTAGAGAGGTCACACTGGCCACTACGTCCTATTGCGTGATTTTCGTTAATCTGTCCTTTTCCTTGAGTAAGACTTGCACGCGGTGGGTAGTTTCGTAACAGTCTGAGGGCTGGCCTTCTCCGGACTTCTGCATGAGTGCTGAAATATTTCTTACAAGCCATCCATTTTTTCAAAGAGGTTCTATCTATGCGAAAGTGCATAAATTTTTCATTTGTCACTTTCACGCTTAGAATGGCTCAGAGGCCTCAGCTTTTCCAAGTAACATAAAATACCATGGTTTCTCAACAGTCATTGCATTTTTGATATAGATAAGTTTTTCAAGATAAACTGGCCTCGGATGCTACATGCTTGGCCTTGGCAAAGTTTACTCAAAGTTCCTATTGAAAGTGTCGTATTTCCTTCTTTGCTGAAGTAAATGATATCTTGTTGCACTAGTAAAGGTTCTTACGAAGAAATAATTTTTGCTTGTGACTACGTTTAGTAGCGCTCACTTTCTTCAAATTCGCGATGATTCAAATCGCATGTCCGTAAAGTGTTTTGCGATCTGAGTCTCCGTAGAATCAGCGAGTCGAATAGATTAGAATGGGACATACCAGGAATGAAGTAACCTCAATCATCGTGGACAGATATTGTGGGTGTTGACAAACTTTTTTACATTGCAAATTTGCTCGAAATTTCTCCCTGATATCAGTAAGGCGCTATTATACCTCCAGTTCTTAAGTACAATCAGTCTTGAAAATCTCTGTGTCGGCTGCGACAGCTAGTTTGTGTTGGTGAACCACCGTTAGCAAGTCAAGAAGACAATGCTTATAGTATCGAATTGATAGTCAGTGTTTGACGACTGCACAACTCCCGTCATTATGACTGTGCTAAGTTATTCTTTTGTGAGAAGAAACGCTACGAAAGAGCGAAAACACGGCGGATTTCACGAGTTAAACCACCGGCAGTCATAGCCTCGGGGAACAGCTGCTCGACGTCATCTTGTTGCCTCATTGCACTACTGATGATGTGATGAAATATTGTGCTTTCCATTATTCTTATGGATTGTGGGCAAATATTAGTGACTCACGTTTCGGTCGTGGCAATGCTCAAGAGCAGTACCGTTTCTTCCTTTCAGAATTCGGAATCCTGATCGATGTAACGAAATGCTTTTAAATGTGTTGATTTGGTGTACATACGAGAGCCAGTTGAACCATTAGAAATGAATTTCTTCTTGAGCGGGATTAAGTATCAGCATTTTCGTAACACAATAATTTGTTGGTTTGACACACAATAACGAAGTACAGCTTCTTACAGGTGCTACAGAAGAAGTTCGTCGTTTTTTGTTAAAGTTATTTCCATCGTTTAACGACCGTAATATGGATTTCGATACTGGCGGTTGGCTAGGTAATTGTGGTTCTTTAAACCCATTCCTCAAGCCTTTCGTGTCATTTTGAGCTTTTTCCTACTTTTGCGCACCAATGACCAAGGCGACAACGTCAAGAAATTTGTCCTTACTAATCAATGCTCACCTAATAAATACTGATTTCAATGCGATAGTCAGCTACGCTGTGATTGGTTGGTGATCAGATGGTTATCACCAAGAGTTCCATTCTAACAAGGACTAATTTTTTTTCTATTCGTTCATCTGTCATCAGCTTTTGTCAGAAAAATTCGATCAACTTATGCTCCACATTGTTCCACTTTTTTGTTGGTAGTGGATTCGTGGGTTTTACAGAATGAAAATGCAAAATTGTCCCTAATGCCGAAACGGCCGTTTAAAAGTATCGTTTTAACGATTCAAAAGTGAAGCATAAAGAGATCAACGATACTGAGATGCCAGCTCACATCACAGCTGCATGCCAAAGCGTTGGAAAAGTTGTTAAGATGAAAAGAAGAGCGCGGAGTTATGGATCCGTCAGTTGGTCGGTGACTTCCTTCAGAGTCTTGAAAGCAAACTGCGTATCTTGTGGTCTTCTCTTCTCTTTGTCTGCACCAAGTTTTCTTATCTAGGTACAGTTAGATATTTCTCGTCTTGATTTGTCACCTATCCCCCACGTGTTTCTCACGAATTCACCTTTTTTTGTCAATTTTTTAACAATTTACCATGTTTCTCATAGTGTTGAGCCTATTAAATCTCGACTCTGCCTAATCATCTGCTGAAATGATGACAACGTCGTCAACGTAGTTCTCACACAAGTTTTCCTTCAGTGTTTGAGCATTTTCTTTCCGAAAGGACAGTGTGCTGTCTAGTATAGCAGTTGATGAACTGCTTAGAGAGATGGTCACATTTATAGCACCGTTTTCGTAGTAATACCCTGAGGGTGCTTCTTCTGTCGAGTGGAAAAATCTAGAGAGATTTTTTCAATGATTATGTGGTGTCTAATGAAGTGATTTTCAAATGGAATGTTCAAAAACACTCTCCATTACTGCCCATTTTCTTCGTAAATATTTCGTTTTATGGGAGCCCCATAATCATGCAATTTGTGAGGATCTTTTTAAACTTCTTAAATTTCGTCATTATTTTACCGTCTTTCTCCCGTGAAAAGGAATCATCATAGAAGTTATTGGTGATAAAGTTCCCGTTATCATAAGCTATTTTTGTAAGCAGTAGAAAAGGGCAAGAGAAGGTCATCAAGGCAGCTATTATTCCCATTTATCGGGCAGTAAAAGTACTCGAATGTCTTGAGATCATCACACTTGTCTTCTAACAAACATTCTTGTATGGGTGAATATCAGTGAAGTATTTGATGCATTCTCCCGGAGGACTAACAGATAAAGGATTAAAATTACAAGGCGCAGTAGTCGTATTCGTAATAGCTCCAATTGGGTGATCGCGAGTGTCGAACTGCAGTGTGCTACAGCAGCTCATCTCCAGCAGCGTCATCGAAAACTAACTAAGAATTCTGTATTTCTATTGAAAACTCTGCCGCTAGGAATCGCCGCACCATAAGAAGTCGTTGAAAAAAATTGGCAAAAATTAGCTAAATCTCTTTCAAACCCTCTAAGAAAGCTTTCCTTCTGGTAATTTAGGCTTTGAAACGAACTTTCATGGTTTTTTCTACTGTGAAGAAAAAAAAACTCAGACCATTTGGAAAACAATAAAGCAAAAAAGGAACAGTAAAACAGGAACAAAAAAAAACAAAAAACAACAGAAAAAACATATGAAAATGTTGCTGAGAAACTTACAATTGCCCTGAGGACGGGCTTTTTGTATGGAGAATATCGAAGTAGTCATTCTCTTTATCTAAAAGTTTCCCAATATCTAGTTTCTGAATTGAGACTTATAGTAAAGGTGTTTTTCAACTTTCTAGGAGGAACTATTGACTGAGTGTCGGTTTTCAAACTTCTATTTGGGAAAGTTTATGTGAGCAGGAAGGAAGTTTTTTTTTGTAAAAAATTTTGTCTTCAGAAATATGAGTTCAATCATTGTAATTGGAGTTCAGGCTCATTTCGACTTCTTCATCCGTTCTAACCTCTTTCTTCCCCCGATAAATTGTTTTTTGATCCTTCGGCTATCATTGTGATGGAGTTGGTGATAATCAGTTCGTCTCGGCCATTACAGATGTTCCTCTGTCAGCTGTCAATTCGCTTTCTTTCAATTTCTTTGTTTCTTTTCTTCTACTTGTACAGCTTGCTTTTTATTCACCTTTCGTTCACTAGTCTATAAAGTTCTTATCATTGTATCATGTGATGCAGTTCGGATTATGAGAGAGATAGTGAAATTTTCTTCAAAAGCTCTGTTCACTTTGTGGTTGTTGCTGCCACTTCCTTGTTGTTCTCATTGGTGTGTAGTAATTATTAGCTCAAATTTAGTATATATATAAGCCCAATTATGATGTAAAGTGGTGTGCAAAAGCGTTTACGTCAGCAGAGACTTGAACCCAGATCCTACTCATTCCGAGAGCGTGTGCTAAACCGTTGCACCACCGACACTCGTTTCGCACTCCACTCTTTCTACGCTACAACGCGTCATCTGTCAACAGCCAACCGTCTAATAAAATGATTTCGGATCGATTATAGTATATATAGTTTAGTGGTTAAAGGTGCCCTGCAATCATATTCGAAATTAGGTCACTGGTTAAGATCAATCTTGAGGGTCGCCAAGCCTTACGTTCGTCTTGGATCGGCGGAATGGTGTCAGACTTGTCTGAGAGAATGTGAAGACCGACTTGACACCTGAATAGAGCTTCATGAGTCATCGCGTAGGCCAGTTATACATTCAGTCGCCTTGCGATGCTACGAAAGAGTCGAATGTGTGGCGCGTTTTTAACAAACCAGTCAATTCACAACTATTAGGCTTTTACTAGTTATGACTTGGGAACATTGCATTAAAGGTTCTGTGTAGTCAGAACGTTCTTGCAATTCTTCAACACCTTTCTAGAAATGCAGTTTTCTCATGCTCTCTCACGATGGTGATTATTTATGCCTTATGTAGAGCAGCGAGTGGTTGAAAAGATTGAAATATGAATGAAATTCAATCCACTGTATGTGATCTAGTTGTGGTCGTTATTATGTCAGTTTTTTTTTCCACTCATATTTCTTAGCCTTTTCATTTGGGACCATTCAAAACTCATACTGTCTAAGAAAACTAGTGAGCATTATTCAAAACCTTGGTCTTACCGGTATTTTACTTAATAGTTTCATTATTATTTCATGAAAAAATAGAAAATATTAGTTACAGGATCACCTGACTTCGTAAATCTTTTGCATGACGGATTATTCAATCCAAACAACGTGAAGGCATTCTATTTCACATTTTCTTAATTTCAAGCAGATTTCTATATACTTGTTAACATTCTATTTCCAGAAACTTTACATACAAAGGGATTCTGATTTTCTTCAACTCTAACAGTCCCAACTAACAGAAGCAAAGACTAGTCGTAGAACAAGTAAGGACCCTTCGCGGCATTTCGTGCATAAATATTTTATTTTATTTATGTGTTCTTACGCGACCTGTGCGAGGGATTGCCTAGCGTAGTGGCTGCAAATGTTCTGCAACACATATGCGACCATTTTTTTGATTTTTTTCGTACCACCCAGCCTTCCATCCTTCGGGGTTGGTAGTTTGATACTGAGATTGTATGTGGGGGTGGCAACACTGAGTTGGTACATGGTAAGCTATCGTAAGTCATTGTATTCATCAAATTTGTATTCAATCACCTCCAAATGATGATTGAGAAAATCAAATGAATGACCTATTCCTTAGATTTGGTCAATGTCCAACCCTCTAGTTTTTAATATACACTGTGTATAGTGTCACACCTAAAGAGCTCCCTGGAAGAGACGTCTTCTCTCAATGTGTTGTCACACCGCTTGCATGTCGCGTTGTCAAAGCGATATGACAATGTTCACATGCTCATAACTCATGAAAAAAAAACAAGGAGTGTATGGAGAATGAAATATGATCCACTGTGTACAATCTGCACATGACATTAGTTTCAATATCTTTTCAGTTTCTCAAATTTATTCATTTTATGCGACCTATCTATGCAACATTCTGATGCAAAATCTTTTTAGCGCTGTTTACCCCTTTGGAAAGCACTCTTATACTTTCCGAGGCTGTTAAATGCGGTTCTTGCGCTCCCCTGTTTCAGCGACGCCTAACTGACTCATATTTCGCTGCAAACATTGCCACTTTCATAATTAAACAATGCGCATTATTTCTGCCATTCGAGTGCGCTGATAGTCTGCAGTCAAACGGCTAAAAAGTACGTGAGACAATGGTTCAAGTTGCTTTCAGTCAGCAAAGTGCTTGAGCACAACCTGCCAAAAAATCTCTTCAACCCCAAAATAATGCATACCAAGATGTTTTTGGGCTTTTGAGAGTTGGAAGCAGTAATAATACAGGGCTCTATATGGAACGGATGATTTTCTTTGTGTCGTCGGAACGAGTGGAGCCCACTTCACTGCTCTGGCGCACGCTTATGTGTAAGCGGGAACTCGCTTGTCTAAGTTGTTCAGTGATTGGTGAGGTTGAGGTTACAAGTGGCATAGATGGTGTAAAATGATTCTTACGTCAAATTAACAACTCTCACTGCTTTGACAGAGTCATTCGCGGGTTCGTTCCCTGAGGGCACGTTCGCGCAATGGTTAGAGGTGCCAACAACAATATCCACACAACCTGCCATTGGTTCGGTGCTGTGCCCAAAGTTGATCAAAAGTTATCAATTTAGTTACCAAAGTTATCAACTTCCACGACCGATGCATTTGATGACAGAATTGTTTGGAAGAATGCAATCACAGAATACATTTTTAGGACAGGAAAACCATTCTATCAGCCAGATATGAGTTCACTTCTATGGTGCCATGAATGGAATTAAACACTTAGCGCACCTCTCAATAATTGCTGAATGCTGAGCGCTTCATCCTTTAGCCTTAGATACTTCCGTTCTCAATCAATTTTTGGCAACGCTTACGATGTAGTCTGAGCATGGTGTCCTCTGCTGTTCTGCAGCTAAATAGTGTAAGATGTGATATAAACTGTCTCACATAAACCCAGTGCATGTGCACTTTTCTTGTCTCTTTTCTATTACATCGCAGAGATTTTCTCAGGTCATAGATCTATGATAATGTGACATAATCATCTCATCTATATGAGTGAGCCGAATCTTATTTACCAGTTGTTGTGAAACAGCTGATGGTGGCAAACGTTCGTATCAGGAATTCCGTAGCAGATATATAGCAATCCTAAAATTCTTCATAAATCATAACTTCCCCCAGATTTTGAAACTTTTGTCAGTCTCAAATTTCATTTCTGAGACGTTCTCGAATTCAATAGCAAAAAGTTAAGACTTGAGGTGGAAATCGGATTTCAGCGGTGTTCCTTTTCGTCGACGTCTTATTTTCCTTTATAGTTATCAGTGAAAAAATAGCAAGACTTGATTTTTTGTGGGTATACGTAATGTCAAAAACTAGGAGGAATTTTTGTCTTAGTAGCTGCCATTTCGTAGAGACCGTGGCCAAGTGATTGTGTTGCTTGTCGCGGCGTGCTTGGGGTTGAACCCCACTCCACCTCTCCCTCCACTCTCAACACTCTCCGGCAGTCAACAACGAACGACCTATGGAACACCTCTACTAGGCTATCCTCGAGATTGCAAGAGGACACGTTCAACCACTATTACACGACGTTCAAGAAGAAGAAAAACGCATGAATACTAGGAGTACCAGGATCCACATAGTGAAAAAAAGAAAAACACTGTGAAGATGGGTATTAGAAAGCCTGAAATGAAGTTAAGTTCGTTCCGAGTGATTTCTTGAGGCTACACTCAAATTTCAATATGTCTGATAATTATTCTTGAGCCATGCATGTGCCCTGTTATGGGCAGTTATATACTGCAATGCTCGCGTTTCTGCCTTGCAGCCTGGTCATTTCGTCTTAGCCAGCCCCTCTTGGGGGAAACTCGACGCCCTTACATAGAGAAGACGCTCAAATGGAGGAAAGCACCAAATGGACAGTGTTATACACTTGATTGCTCTTGGCTGTTATTTATGAGATATCATACCGTTCGTTTCAAACGCTTTCTTGAGACCACGCTTAAGTTTTAGTATGCCTAATAATCATTTTCAAGCCGTGCATGTGGTCTTTTATGGGCATTTATACAGAACCTCGTCAGTTGCACAATGCCTTTCGTCTTAGCCTTAGCCTTTTGAAGTAAAGTTCTCATTTCGATTAGGAGGTAATCTACACACTGTTTATCTTTGCATATTATCTGTTCATAAACAATATTACTCATACGAAATTAGTAGTTTGAAATCAATCCATTTGATCACAAAGATTACCGCACGATATGGTCATGTAGGTATTCTTCTTTAGAATTGAATGTTCTTATGCTATTTCCTCCATATCTACGGTATTCCATCGATTTCCCTAGAGGACCTCTATCTGAAACTGAGCATTTGATAACAAAACTTTTTCAGCTTTCTAAGCTAAGACTGTCTTGGCTAAGAAGATTACATCTTCCTCATAGCTCATTCCACCATTAATCCTCATTCGTCTATATTTTTCGTTTCAATAATAAAAGTGTGCGTTTGGTGATGTCATCGGATGCAAAAGTTCGAATATGATCCATAACCGTTATGAAAAGCTTAAAATTGCTTAACAACGTACATGATTGCCCTCGATGAAGTCATGCATCCTTTATAACGCTGCAGTTAAGACAGCCAGCCGCTGTCTCGTTGCATCACCCAACGTTCAACGGCAACAAAAAATCATCGCAAACTTATTTTGTGCGTTTGTCGATACCGTACCTCTATATGCCGTTTTGTATCGTAGCCGTTAGTTGTAGAATGGGTGACTCGTCACCAGAGCCACTAGACGAATTAGACGAGCCACGAAATCGGCGAGTTGTACGATGGCATAGTGTGCGGGTGATGCGCGAACCGAATGGCTCACCAGAATTCTGTGATTTGCGTCGTATCGGAACATTGCCTGCTATACGATCAGCTAACAAAGGTAGAACTTGGAAATGCTTCATAAGACTTATATCGTTTCCTTTAATAATTTCAATGCCATTTTGTCTTCTCAAGTAATCTTCATCACAGATAAATTATTGTTTTGCGAGAATTCTTCTTATAATAAACGTTCTTATGGTCATTTGATTTTTTTCTAACGTTTTACTTGATTTTCTGAAAAACTCGCTGCAACAAACTATCCTACATACTTTAGTGAAAAATGGCCAAATATTCTTCGTGTACTATTTCATCGACCCTCTGATTATCGTCTTTCTTTTGTATTCCTAAAGATCCTTGTACTCTAGCTGCTGTTGTAAATCTATCAGGACGGTGCAAAAACAATCGCGGCTTAGATCTGTGCTGAAATCGCAGTCACCTTTGTAACTTTCTCAAAATAGCAGTTAACGTTGAGTTATTCTACAATATCTCCTGTGGTCTTGAGAGGATCAATTTCGATGATTGCATTTCCCATCATTTCCAAT